AAAATATTATTCTTTTGATTTTTATTAAACATTTTAAAATGTAATAATAATTTTTAGCTTTCACAGTGTATAAAAAGGGTGGGTGGCCTCTTAGTTAAAATCTTGTGAACTGGCACTTCAGATGGTAAGAAACCTAAGTTGAGAGAAAGAGTATTAGTAGTTGTACTTTAGAGACTCTAGAATTAGAGGCTGTGAAAGCCTCAATGCTTATCATCATTTGGTGAATAATCTTCATAAATTCTCTAAATTCTCTACTTTTGTTTATTTAAATAGATGACAAATTCAGCTGATTTAAAATTCAAAAATTAAAGCGGTAAAAATTCTTCTTCCCCCTGCTGTCTTCCATATGTAAGCAGTATTATTATTTCTCAGGGTCCCTTCCATAGGTTTTCTTGAATATGTATATATATATATTGTGTAAGTCCAGATTTATGTACACGTGTATGTGCATGCATATATACATATTTCTTTCTTTAAATTAAAAAAAAATAGGGCTATGGATGTAACTCAATGGTACAGCACTGGTTAGTATGCACAAAGCCCTGGGTTCAATCCCTAGTACTGCAAGGGAAAAAAAAAACAAACCAAACCAGATTGGGTGAAATGACATATGCCTATATTTAACAACTCAGGAGACTAAAACAGGAGGATCCTGAGTTTGGAGGTCAGCTTGAGTACCTTAGCAAGACCCTATCTAAAAAATACAATAAAATAAAAACCACAAATACAAACACACATGTATTCGCATAAATGTATCATAGATATGATCCTTTTGTGTAATATTCCATTAAATGGATATATTTTAATATAAATCAGTCTTCTTGAAGATGGATATTTAAATTGTTCCAATCTCCCATTTTAGATTGCTTCTAAACATTTAGATTTATATAAACATTTCTTTGGTGAATATGTAGTTACATATGCTTTTATGGATGGGTAGGTATTTCTGTGAATAAGTTTCAGAAACAGAATTTCTAGGTTGAAGAGTATGTGCATTTATAATTTTGATGTATATTCTGCATAAAAGCTGTACCAATTCATATTCACTCGGGCAATGTGAGTAGTAACTACTTCCTCTACTTTCACTAAAACTAGTTCACAAGTTTTAAACTTTTTAATCCAGTAGTAAGACAGAAGTTAAGGTGGTTTTATTATCTTATAAATAAGCCTATCTTATGTTTGAGTTACTTATTTTTCTGTTCTGGAACTACCACATCCTTTGCTACTTTTTTTTTCTATTGACTTAACTTTCTTCTATTAATTTTTAGGAATATTTTGTATACTAGAGAAATTCACCTCTGTAATATACACTACAGTTCTCCTCTCTCTTTCTCTGCCTTCTTCCTTTGCTTATGTGTATTTATTTGTTATGCAGAAAATTCATGTATTCAATATACTACAAATTTTAGTTCCTTCTTTTTATTTTCTCCTTTTAACTGGGCCACAATTAAGGGCAGGAATGTGGTAAGGCAAGAGGAGGAGCTAGGATGAGAACTGAATAGCTTTATTTTCATCTCACCCTAATCTTAGACTTCCCTTATTATAAGGACTTAAGTACATGTTTGAAATAGTATCTTCTGGTACCTTAATTATTTAATTTTTTATAAAATCCATCTTTGTAATCTGTTTTGATATAAATGTGTGAGGTTAAGAATCCAATTTTTTAATCTTTTCACAGATGGTTATCAAATTCTCTTTAGTACTAACTATTTCAAAATCTATGTTTCCTACCACTCATCATGTAAAATATTCTATTAACAGATGACCAATTTAGTTGACACGGAGAATTGCAGATACTGATGTTTATATTAGTTTTCTATATTTATTGTGTATAACATGATGTTTCGATACATCTCTATGTTATAATGTGTCTAAATCAAGTTTTTAAACATAAGCATTTCTTCACATATTTTTTTATGATAAGAACAAGTAAAATCTACTCTCTTGGCAATTTTCAAGAATATAATGTTATTAGTTAATAACATTGTTAATAACATAATAACATCAATAACTATATGACAATAGTTATTGTCATCATGATGCATAATGCCTCTCTTGAATATATTCTTCCTAATTGAAATGTGTGTCCTATAACCAATATCTCCCCAATACTCTCCTCTCCACTGTCATACTCTGGTAACCACAATTACTTTTTCTGAGTTTGACATTTTAAAACTCCACATATAAGTTAGATCATGTGATATTTGTTGCTTTGTGCCTGAATTATTTCAAACAACACAATATCCTCCAGATTCATCCTTGTTCTTGCAAATAACCATATTTCATTCTTTCAAAGACTGAATCAAATTCCCCATTGTATGTATGTGCCATATTTTCCATATTCATTTGTTTATGGACACTTACGCTGATTCCATGTCTTGGCTATTCTGAATAGTGCTGTAATAAACATGGAAATACAGATTCTCAACATATTGATTTTATATCCTTTAGATATATACCTGTGTGTTCATCAATTTTGCTTTAATTTTTAAGTTTTTGAGGAAACTCCATACTGTTTTCCATAATGGCTCTTACTACATTATGTTCCCATCAACTATGAGCAAGGATTCCTTTTTCTCTATGTTTTAGCCAGGATGTGTTATTTTTCATCTTTTTGATCATACCCAATCTAAAGGTGTGAACTGAAACTTCATTGTGGTTTTAGTACATCATTTTCTTGTGATTAGTGAGGCTGAGCATTTTTTCAGTATTTTTTGGCTGCTTCTTTTTAGCCTAAACGTCAACTCAAATAACTATCATTTCTTAATGGTGAGACTATTTAAAAACTTTCTATTTATTTTGAAATCTACATTATTATGAATATAATTACCTTGCTGTGCAATAGAACATCAGAACTTACTCCTCCCATCTGAATGCAGCTTTGCACCTGCTGTCCAACCTTTTTCCTTTCCCATCCTCCCCTTTGCCTCCTCCAGTTTCTGGCAACCACCATTCTCCTTTCTACTTATGTATATAACTTCTTTAGATTCCACATATAGGCGATTTTATATAGTATTTCTCTCTCTCTGCCTGGCTTATTTAACATAATGTTCTCTAGGTTCATCCATATTGTTGCAAATCACAGAATTTAGTTTTTTTGAAGCTGAATAATATTCTATCATGAGTATATACCACATTTTATAAATCCATTTATCCCTAGATGGACACACAGGTAGTTTCTATATCTTGGCTATTGTGATTAGTGTGGCAATGAACAAGGGAGTCCAGATGTCTCCACAGCATGCCTTTGGTGTACATACCCAGTAGTGGTATTGCTGGATCATATGGTAATTTTATTTTTGGTGTTTTGAGGAAATGATGTTGTTTCCCAAAATGACTATGCTAATTTATAATCCCATCAACAGTGTTACAAGGGTTCTCTTTCCTCTTTATCCTCGCCAACACTTGCTATCTTTCATTTTATTTGTAATTGCTGATCTAACAGATGCAGTAATATCTTCTGTAGTTTTAATTTGTATTACTCTGATGATGAGAGATGTTGGGTATTTCATCTGTTGGCCATTTGTATGTCTACTTTGCCCATTATCTGTTTTGTTAAGTAATTTGAGTTCCTAATATATGTTGACATTAACCCCTTTTCAGATGCAAGGTTTGCAAATATGTCCTCCCATTCCGCAGGTTCTTTACTTTGTGGATTGTTTCCTTAGTTGTGCTGAAACTTTTTTGTCTGATGTAATCCCATTCTTCTGTTTTTGCTTTCATTGCCATTGCTTTTGGGGTCTTATTCAAGTAACCATTGCTCAGACCAAAATCTAGAACTTGCTTCCTGTTTTCTTCTAGTAGTTTTACAATTGAATGTTTTAACATTTAAATCTTTAATCCAAGCCAGTTGTGGTGGCATGCACCTGTAATCCCAGCAGCTCGGGAGGCTGAGGCAGGAGGATTGGATGTTCAAAGCCAGTCTCAGCAAAAGCGAGGCACTAAGCAACTCAGTGAGACCCTGTCTCTAAATAAAATACAAAATAGGACTGGGGATGTGGGCTCAGTGGTCGAATTCCCCTGAGTTCAATACTTGTAATATCCCCAAATAAGTAAGTAAATAAATCTTTAATCCATTTTTGCTTGATTTTTTGTGTTTGGTATGAGATGAAGTTCTGATTTAATTATTCTGCTAGTGGATACCTCGTTTTACAAGCTCTACTTTTTGAAGAGACTGATTTATCCCATGTGTATCCTTAGAGTCTTCATCAAATATCAATTGACTACAGATTAGGGGTGTTTCCTGGTGGCAAAGCATGTGCTTGACATGAGGATGACCCTGGACTCAATCCCTGGCACCAAAAAAAAAAAAAAAAAAATTCAATTCACTATGAATGTGTGGGTTTATATCTAGGTTTTCCACTGTGTTTCATGGAAAAACACATGGGTTCGTTTCCATGCTAGTTTCATGTTATTTTTATTTCTATAGCTTTGTAGTTGATTTTGAAATCAGGAATTATGATGCCTCCAGCTTTGTTCTTTCTGCTCAAGATTGTTTTGACTATCAGGATTTTTGTCTTCTTAGGATAGTTTTTATTCATTTCTGTGGAAAATATTAAAATGTTGATAGGGATTGTATTGAATCTATAGATTGCTTTGAGTACTGAGGACATTTTAACAATATTAATTTCTCCAGTCCTTGGATATTCCCATTTCTTTGTGTTCTCTTCAGTTTCTTTCATCTATGTTTTATAGTTTTCAGTGCATAGATATCGTGCCACCTTGATTAAATCTATTTTTGAGAGGTGGGGGACGGTGTGTACGTACATACACTGATAGCTATTATAAATGGGATTGATTTCTTGATTCTTTTTTGTATGGTTCATGGTTAGTGTATGGAAACACTATTGATTTTCATATATTGATTTTGGCCCCCGCAACCTTAAGAAAATCAATTTTTTTTTTAGTTCTAATGGCTTTAGCTGGAATCTTTCTCAGGCTTATTCTCTATAAGATTTTATCACATGCAAACAAGGAAATTAAACTTCTGATTTGGATACTTTTCTCTCTTGCTTAATTACACGGACAGAACTTCTAATAGTACTATGTTGAACAGAAGTGGTAAGAGTGGGCATCCTTGTTTTATTCCTGATCTTTTAGAAAAATCTTTCCACCTTTCACCATTGAACATTGTTGCTATGGGCTCATCACAGGACTTTACTGTGTTGAGGCACGTCCCTTCTGTATCTAATCTGTCGAGAGTTTTTATTTTAAATGGATGTTGAATTTTGTCAAGTGCTTTTCTGAATCTACTGAAATGATCATCCGAGTTTTGTCTTTCATTCTTTGAAAGTGGTGTATCTCATATTTACTGATTCGCATATGTTAAATGCATCCCAGGGATAAATTCTACTCAATCAGGGTGAATCATTCTTTTGGTTTGTTTTTTGTTTTGTTTTAATACAGGGAATCAAACCCAGGGTGCTTTGCCATTGAACTACATCCCCAGTACTAATTTTCTTTTTTATAGTGTCCTTGTCTGACTTTTTAGTAGGGTAATGCTAGCCTTACTAAATGAGTTTTGCAATATTCTTTTTTAAATTTAAAAATTTTTTTTTAAATATATATATTTTTAGTTGTTGCTGAGCCTTTATTTATTTATTTATATGAGGTGCTGAGAATTGAACCCACTGCCTCACACATACTAGGCAAGCGCTCTACCACTGAGCCACAACCGCAGCCCTGCAAGAGTCTTTTCTCTTCAATTTTCTGGGAGAGTTTAGAAGGATTAGTATTAGTTCTTTAAAAGCTTAGTAGAAGTC